ACTGAAACTATTCTTAACTTAAATAACTGTCCTTGAACAGTTCCCAATCATAATTCTTTTTTTAAAACAAATACAAATCAGTAACTATAACATTCTTTGGATAAGTTGGTAAATTATGCAAATAAAGCTATTTTGATTTGCTGTGACATTAAAGAATATCTACCCCCTTCTTACCTATTGGTATTTAAGTTCAGTCCAAGAGAATGGGGAAAATTTTTGATATCAGATTCTACAGAAGATGAAGTTTTCTGTAAGGTTTTCACCAAGTCAAAATCTCCCATAATGTACAGAAATTGTTATACTCTCTTATTGGAAAATAAAGGTTCTTTGACTGTTTGAGGAAACTGAATCCGTGTCATCTTCAGATGCTTCATCTTCTACCGGCATTTTCAGTTGCTAACATTCAGAACTACGAAATATCCTAAACTTCCAAGAGAGTCTCTGAAAATGAATGACGAGAAAAATACTACTATAAAAAGCCACTAAACCTAGCAAACGTCTTTTCATGGCTTTGGAAACCTTGACTTCTTTCATACAAATTTACATCAAGGATAGCAACATAATTCATAATAACCAAAATGTTATTATCAAATGTCCATTAATAGATGAATGGATAAACAAATGTGGATTATCCATATAATGCAACATTATGTAGCAATAAAAAGGAATGAAACATGCTACAATGTAGATGAACATTGAAAACACTATGTAAATAAAAGCCAGTCACAAAAGACCACATACTGTATGATCTCATTTCTATAAAATATCTAGAATAGGCAAATCCATAGAGACAAAGTAGATAAATGGTTTCCAAGAGCTGGGGGAAGGACAGAAAGGGAGTGACTGCAGTTGGTATGGGGTCTCATTTTGGGGTGATGAAAAAGTTCTGGAATTAGATAGTGGTGATGGTTGTACAACCTTGTGAATATATTAAAAACCACTCAATTGTACACTTTTAAAGGGTGAATTTTATGGTATGCGAACTATATATAGTGCAAAAAAATCTACGTTAAAAGTGATTTGCAAAAGTAGCATATTTTTATGTCATATTTCAGAATTTTACATGTTTAATATCAAAGTTCTAGACACAATTCTATTATGTAACAACTGGAATACTTACAGGCCTTGTTCATTTGTTTAACAAATTCTACCAAGAATACATGTTGGTTTACACAGTGACTAGAACTGAACTACTTCGCATCTAATTTGCATTAAAGAGAGTCAATTAAACACAGCTGCCTCTTCATTGGCTGGACGAACATTTTGCACTATACGACCTTTTGTATATCTGTGCACTTATTACTCCTTAAAAAATAAACTATTTGCTAGACTAAAATTTCACGGAAGCTGGGTATACACTGGCAAATTGGCTGTAACAAATCAAACAATATGCCTCCTTCTCAGGGAATTCATACATTTAAAAAAGCGAGAGAACAAGAGAAAAGGAAGAAAAAAGGGAAAAAGAAAATCTCTGCTGCTTACAAAAGAAAAAGTTTATAAGAGTGCAACAGAGGAAAATTATCTAGTATTTCGGTTCCTCTAGAGTCCCACTTTTCTAGGGCCTGGTTTTATAAAAGCACTACACCAAAAAAAAAAAAAAAAAAAAAAGCCACATCAGTTCATCAAGGAACCATTTCCTTCAGAGACAGGTGTGAAAGCGAAGGGTAACAGGACCTAACTAAGCGAATTTCTCCCCAGTGGCTAATCTCATCGCCAACGACAAACGGGGCACTGAAAAAGTCAGGGGCTGCCCTTTCCAACTGGCAACAGAAATACCTGGATTCAAATCACCTTGCTCTTATACCCGGAAAACAAGCTCTCCAGGGAGGGCGATCTGCAACCCCATCTATTATTTCGCCCGCTGAGGCAATCCGGATACAGTAGATCCAGATGAAAAACCACTAGAAATTCAAGGATGCTTCTCCAGCGGGGGTGGTGTACGGGGGCGGGGGGGGACATTAAAGGAAAAAAGCGACCGCGGGGAGAGAGGGGTGGCTTCAGAGGAGGTGAGGCCAGGTCCTGCCATTCTCGAGCTCACAGCTCGACCTCAACTGCTGGTAGCGGCTTATCGGGTCCAAGTGGGAAGGCGAGGCAGAGCCCATGCAGTCGCCTAAGCCACAGAAAGCGGAGAGGGCGGAGGAAAAGCCACCCCTCCAGCAACAACCGTGACTCCAAAAGGAAGCCGAAGCACCTAGTCCAAAAAAAAAAACCACAAGCCCCCCGCCCCTTGGGAAGGGCTCTCTGCGATTGGTCCGCGCGGGTGTCACTCAAAGATGCGGAGTCTAGAAAAGGCGCTCGGCAGCCTTTTCCAGAGGGCTCCTGTGGGGTCGTGTCACCTGGCAGTCGTCTCCCCTCACTCTGGCCCCCTCAGTACACTCAAAGGTCAGCTAAGACGGTGTCTCCTAAGTCTCATCCCCTGTCTCCCGCAGCCGGCAGCTCATCGCAGGCTGGTGGCCGCTTACCTGGCCGCCGCTCCAGCTGCCGATGTCAGGGTAGAGCGAGCGGCCTCTCGCGACCGTTAAACTCGAGAGAGCGTGCGCGCGCCCGTCGTCTCGCCAGCCATTGGCTGCTGGGAAGGGGGCGGAGACAGCCGAGCGTGGAGGGCGCGTCCTCCCCTTCTGCGCCTCTCCAGCCAAAGAGGGATGTTCGACACCGGGGGAGTGACGGGGTAGGGGGGGTGAGGCGGGGAAACACTGCGGTCAAGTAGCCCCTTCTGATTGGCTCTCTGGGAACCTACCGCGGCCACGAGGGAAAGAAGCTTCAGCTTCTCGCATGCGCAGTTAGTAAGAATGAGCCTCAGGCCGCTGAGGGAAGCCGGGACGAGAGTACGGCGCGTGCGCAGAGCCAGGAACGCGTTGCGAACTCTCTTCTGCGGTGATCCAGGATCTCCCAGAACGTTGGGGGCGGGAGGCCGGTCCTGAGATCAGGTAAGCGTCCGCGGGGAAGCCAGGTACTCTTACGGCTGCCCACGACTCTCAAGGGCTCTGGATAGAGGACGAGGAGCCAGGACGCCTGAGCTTTTCCTGGCTTGCTACCCCGAGTCGCGCAACCAGCTTAGTTGAGGGCCGGATGGCGGTGAGCTGAGCTGGCCCTGACACCTGAGCTCGGTTTCCTCTGGGCCTGATGTACGCTAGGTTGCGGGAGGTCGGACCTGGAGCGTTTCCAGCATCGCGGGGTGGGAGAGCGGAGGAGGGACCGCCCTGTAGAAAACAGTTCCACGGAAGCCCAAGGAGAAAATACAAGGATCCTCCTTTACTTGCTCGGCAGAGTGGGATGGAGCTCTGACCACGCACCAGAGCCTGTTTTAGGCCTGCCACATAGTAGGTGTCAGCACTGCCCTTGCAAGGCGTTTGAAGGGCCACAGAGAACCTGCCCTCCTCCCCGCGGGCCCCCAGCCCTTCTCAAGCGCGCTGTTCAGCCCCCATTCTTCAGCCTAGTTAACCTTTAAGGCTCCTCCAGCTCTCAGATTTCCCTCCAAGCGTCCTGGCCCGTAGTAAAGGGACTTCGCAAGCACTATCACTTAGGTGTGCGGGAAGTGGCACTGAGAAGCCAGGACACGGGAGGTGTATTATATTTGCCCCAGGAATGACAGATCTGCCAAGAGGCATTCCATCTCATCTGAGCCTCCTAAGAATACTTACCAATTCCTTTTCAACAGTAAAAATTCAATCTCTGTCCAAAACCCCATCAGTGTATGTAAGATCTCAAGCTTAAATAAATTGACACATCCCCCCCAATTGTGTTAATCCACCAGTCAGTATTATGCTCCTGTAACACTTAACCAAAACAAAATTATCTTTAAGCACAGGGCTCTGTTTTCAGTGACCATATTTTCAAGCCCACCAAAGAAAAGCAACAGTTTTAGCACTAACTTCAGTTGGTCACACAATCTATTGTTTGAGTCACTGTAGAATCTTGCACCCACAGAATTGAGAAGCGTGAATTCCTGAGACAGCTCTAGGCAGAGAGGTGTGTTTCCCTACAAGAACGATGTTAACCCCACAAGAAAAATAGTAATCCCAAAAGTGAATGCTAGTGATTAGGTATTAACCATGTAAGAGGCAGTAGACGATTGCTTTTGGCTACAAAATCCAAAGGGCTGTGTTCACTTTGGGTGTGCGTTTTTTGTTTTTAGCAGTGTGATTTTAGGTAATTTTTTTAATCCATTAATGTCTTAATAAGCCAACATGTTTAGGAACTAGTATCCTGATTATCTGCATTATCTTGTAAACCGACTCATGCAGTCATGTATTTTGGAAAGGTTATTTACTTCTTACCTTAGGTTTAGCTCTTCGGTAGGGTCTTTATTTAAAAAAATTAAACGTGGAAATTGCCTTTTACTAACAGCACTAGGCAGAACAAATGACTTTCTCAAAGCCTTATCAGCAGATTAAAATGTAGTTTGTAAAGCCAAAAAAATTATTTCCGAATATAGAAAACAGAGTAGAAGGCTTCAGAAATTCAAGTGAATGTGTTAAGTGTAATAACTGTTCATCTAATCTAAATAACCTCCCCCCAATACTGGAGATTTTGCACTACTTATAAGCAGCTTACACCACTATTTTATGGCCTTATGATGGTATGGTTACCATACAATTTTATTATAAGCTAGAATTACTCAAATATTTCTCATTGGTCTCGAAGACTTTAAACTGACACTTTTCGAGTGGAGATCTTTTCTATCTGATCAGGCTGTTCAATAACAGTAGCTGATAATGGCTTGAGGCATTTAGTGTCTTAACCAGGGTGTTACTTTGTGTCATTGATTTTTATGTCCAAACGGTTTATTGTTTGGAGGAACTTCTCCACAGCAAAAAATGTGAAACAATAAAACTTTAATCTTTCCAGTCTTTCATGATTTTTTTTTTCTACATTACATAATTCCTAAAGATACTCATGTTCAAACCAGGACTTACTTCCATGAAGGTGGTTTTTATCCTTCAACATAAGTCTGCTAGGATGTCAGACTGTATTTTTGGCATCATAATAATCTCCTTGGCACCTGATTTCATAGACCAGAATTATGACCCCACCAAATAGCATGTTTTCCAGTAATGTTGTGGTTTCCATGTACTTCTTAAATTGGACCATACCACGTGAAATAATTTGCAGGTCACTGTTGAGGATGCCTTTCGCTCTGAGCTCTAAAACGAAAGCCCACGAAATAATCAGTTTCTGGACTGGGTTTGTGCCATGAGACCACAGCTTATGTGCTAGTGTTAGTCAGAGGTTCTTCAGCCTTGTAGTTAGGGACCTGAAGTGCTACCATGTAATGAGCACTGAGTGCTTATGTTTGTGGCAACATATATGATTTTGTTCTCACCCTAGGTTTAGAAACGAGGAAAAGTGGCCAAAGTTGCAGAGAAAGTGAATCATGGAGTTGAGACATTGAAAGCAGGGCACGCTGACTATAAAGCTCACACTCCTGTGCAGTGTGACCTTTCTGGAACGAAAAAAAAAAGAGGGAGAGTCAAAAAGAGAAAGTTAATGGAAATGAGCTAACATTGCCTATGGAACTAGGAAAAGAACAGGTCTAGGCCGGGCGCGGTGGCTCACGCCTGTAATCCTAGCACTCTGGGAGGCCGAGGCGGGCGGATTGTTTGAGCTCAGGAGTTCAAAACCAGCCTGAGCAAGAGCGAGACCCCATCTCTACTAAAAATAGAAAGAAATTAATCGGACAACTAAAAATATATAGAAAAAATTAGCCGGGCATGGTGGCACATGCCTATAGTCCCAGCTACTCAGGAGGCTGAGGCAGGAGGATCGCTTGAACCCAGGAGTTTGAGGTTGCTGTGAGCGAGGATGATGCCACGGCACTCTAGCCCGGGCAACACAGTGAGACTCTGTCTCAAAAAAAAAAAAAAAAATTGAAAACCTAATGATTTTCCAAAATAAGTCTCCCTGAGATAATCCACACATAGTGTGCATCCCTTATTTTCTTTATATGTGTTAAATACAATAATTTTGAAAGTGCTTTGGGAATGTTTAGGTCCTAAACAAATACAAGGCATTATTAATGGTAATATAAGCTATGACACTTTTAGAAAATGTAGAGTGCTACTGTTGCTGCTTTTTTATTATATGTTTCTGTTTTAACAAGTGTAGTTGATAAATTTTATAAAGTTCCAGGCCAGGCACAGTAGCTCACACCTGTAATCCTAGCATTTGGGGAGGCTGAGGCAAGAGGATGGCTGGGTAGTATAGTGAGACCCCATCTTTACAAAAAATTAGCCAGGCGTGGTGGTGCACACCTATAGTCCCAGCTACTCAGGAGGCTGAGACAGGAGGATCACTTGAACCCAGGAGTTTTTTTAATACGCTTAAATCCAGGAGTTCGAGGTCACAGTAAGCCGTGATGACACCACTACATTCTAGCCAGGGAAAGAGAATGAGAACCTGTCTCCAAAAAAAATTATAAAGTTCCTGTTAGATGCCTTAAATAGAAGAAATGTGATGCACATAAATAGGACAGGTGTAATTCTCTGTGGAAGTTGGTAGAGTGAATTGAATACTTTTCTCTTTAAATACTTCATTAGTTGTCTCTTGAACTCAGCAGCAGGAAGCCTATTAAATTTAGACCAGACAGAATAGTCTCCTTTTCCGCTTGTCCCCCAAAATCAAAGATGACAGCTGTGCGTTTTCTGCTCAATCCATTATGCTTGCTTTGTTTGAGAAATAATTATCTGTAAACACTTACTGTGGATGAAGCCTTCTTTATCTTCATGGTAAAACCCCAAGCCTAGGCAATGACATGGTCTGTTTCAAGGCTATCCTGCAATACTCAGGATTCCATTTGGAGAGGTGTTTCCACCCTTACAAGGACTTCAGGCATCTAGAACTGGAGAATGAGCTAGATGTGAAGGAAAAAGCCTACTTCTTTTTAACTTGCATTTTGCAGGGAGCACAAAACCACACTTTTCAAACGTGAATTATTATCAAGCATTTCCTGGAAAGTCCTTCTCCTCTCACTTACGCTTCTCGTGCCATCAGCTGGCCATTTTGTCTTTTCAAAGCAGCAACATTGCTCCTTGGTCTGTTTAAGCTCACTGTGTTTGATCCTTAACCATGTAATAGATCATTGTTTTGAGACCTGTGGTTCCATCTCCTTATTGGGGAAGAGACAAGATGGTGAGTAAGTAGGAAATCAGCACTCCTGAATTCTGGTCTCAACTCCTTAAATGTTACAAAAATAAGAAACAACAGCTTTTCAAAGTGTCTGTCTTAGCAGCCTGCAGAACTTGCTGATTCCTGTGTTCTAGTGCAACGCTTGTCAAACTGTAATGTGCCTCTGAATCACCTGTGGGTCTTGTTAAAACGCAGGTTCTTCCAAGTGGTGCTGGTGCTGCTGCCGCTACTCTGGACCACACTTTGAGCAGCAAGATTCTAGAGCCACGTCATCCAGCACCGTAGCCACCCGCGCAGTGGCTAGTGAGCGCTTGAAGTGTGGCTGGTCTGAATTGAGATGTGCTATAAGTATGAATACACCCCAAATTTTGAAGACTTTGTATTAAAAAAATTATCTCTTTTTTATATTTATTACATTGAAATAATGTTTTGGATATATTGGGTTAAATAATTCAAATTAATCATCTGCTTTTTATTATTCTTAATGTAACTATTAGAAAATTTAGAATTTCACATGTGGCTAGCATTAGATTTCTATTGGACAACACTGTTTTAGAATATTAACAAAACAGAACACCCAAAAGAACATTTTGGGTGTTCTTTCTTTCCTTCAGATGACCCAGTTTCTCAGTCCCCATGTTACTCTGTCACCTTCTCTGCTAGCTCAAATCAATATTCGTTTCTTTCTTCTAGATGATTTCCTTGCCATCCTGTCACACTCCTCTACACCTTCTCAGTGTCCATCATTGCCATCGTGATCCTAGGGCTCTCGTCAAGCAGCCAGACAATCCTCAATGCCAGGACATAGGCAGCAGCCTTGCTGAAAGCCCCTGGCCATGCCATTCAAAGTGTGGTCCCTGGAGCAGCAGCCTCACTTGAGAGCTGGTTAGAAATGCAGTCTCCAAGAAGGCGTGGCGGCGCATGCCTGTGGTCCCAGCTACTCGGGAGGCTGAGGCTGCGGGACCACTTGAGCCCAGTGCAAACCCAGCCTGAGCAACATAGCACGACCCCCATCTCTTAAAAAAAATGCAGTCTCTGGCCCCACCTTAGAACTAATGAAGCAGTGTCACATTAACAAGGCTCCCAGGTGATTTGTACACACATTAAAGTTTGAGTGATGAGACTGACTGGTGAGAGGTTTAACAGTCATCTTTCCTAAAGCACCCTATTTTGGTTAGCTTTAATGAAATTTCTGCAAGGTTGATAGACCATGAAAGTTGTGGCTAAGGGAAACTAGTGTTTACCTTTCTAAAAAAAAATACTTAAAAAACTGTGAATTTTAGATAAACGGTGTCCAGAAGGCAAGTCCAGAGATTGAAATCGTACGTTTGCTTTACTGAAAATAGACTCAGATATGCTTTATCCCTCTTAGAGGCACGAGAGGACGGGCCTTCCATTATCATCCTCCTTACCTCTCTCCAGAGCGTTAGAGCTCTTGGTGGCACAGTGTCACCTCCATACGTCTAGTTATAGTCTGTGATTGTTTGCTAGTCACAGGCCTTGTGGCAGAGTTGAACATGCCATCCCTGCAGCTAGATGTCTGCCTTGGATCGGGCTGAATGTGGAACTAGAGGAGGGATGACTGGATCCAGTAATGAAGGCGGCCACTTAATAGAATGTAGGTTCCGAGTGATTTGGGGGCATAGGAAAGTTTGAGGATCCCTGCTCCGTAGCATGCCATCCATTCTGAGCTGTGGCATGTATCGTGTTTATGGGTGTCTGAATTTCTCTTTTATGTTACAGGCTCCTTGGGCTCCTGAGGCCCACGCCTGACACCGACTAGACAGATGTTTATAATATTCTTGAACAAATTAGCATTCCCTTTTCTACAGTCCTCAGACTGATTATCTCTGAACTTGACCAGGTTGGAAAGGACTCAGATAATGACAGCAGCTTTAACCTTAACTGTGACCAGCCATTTAATGTGGAAGCCACCATCAAAGGAAAAGTAGGGCCAAGGGGAAGTTGCGGCCGTCACCGAAGCTCACACTTGCAGAAAGGAACTAGGGCGAAGCTGTCATGACTGCTGGTTTCCCTTTACTAGCACTTCTGTGTGCCATTTTTCTTTTTCTCTTTTTTAGTGTCATGATGAGCTATAATTTGAGCTGCTTTTATTGTTTTCCAAAGACTTTGGGGTTGCTCTGTGGGTATCACAAAAACTGAAATCTAATCGGTATTCTTTGGGCTTTGGAGAAGTGGAACCATCGGTGTGTTTGTCATTTTTAGCAGTCATTGGAGTCGGGCCAAAGCTACATGAGATACTAAAAGTGTCTGCAGTCATCTGATTGGCTGCTGGAATTAGCTGTTAAACAAAGCAGCCAGTAACTGAACACTGGGGACCTGCTTGAACTCCAGTTGGATGGGAGACCTTCCAGTGTGTCTGTCAGCTCGGAACTAGGACAGAAAGGTAGAGATTTCAAACAGTGGGCTGGTGACAAAGCGCTCTCCTCCTCTCTGTCCTTTGTCTGGGAGTTTCGCCTTGTCTCAGACTTGCTTCCTCTCTTTGTCACTGTGCTATATACCAGTGCTGCCCTGCCTGTTAGGTTTACTAACTAGCGGAAGAGAAACCCTGAGAGAGGCTTGGACTCACATTCCGTAATGAATCTAACCGGGACGATGAGCTGTCTGATGCACAAAGGAATTGTGCTTTGTGGATTGAAAGCAGAAATAAGGAAAGGGAAATTCTGGACATTGACTTAGTCTATTCGTTTAATCGTTTACAGGTAAGTTGATTCCTCATTGTAGAGATTTCAGAGAAAGTGCCTGAGTTTATCATTTATTTTTTCTTGAAGATACCTCTAAAGTATCTGATACACATTGAACAAAACCAATTTTTAAAGTATCACTTTCATTGGCACATTCTATCTCAAGATACATCCCTTCACAGCCTGGAGCACCTTGCCAATACCATCTTAATTATTACACACTGACAGAACACACTGAATGTCATAAAAAGAAAACACAGGTTTAGACCATAATGTCCGTCATGGAATTGAAAACTAGCACTGACATGGAAAGTACGTTATGTTAGGTTTCACGGTATTTACTTCCCATAGGAACAGCAAAGGTGGAGATGAATAAGTGTGTCATCATTCTAAAGATGACCACTGTCTCTCAGCGCTCTGGGAGGCCAAGGCATGAGGATTGCTTGAGGCCAGGGGTTCAAGACCAGCCTGGGCAACATAGTAAGACCCTGTCTCTACAAAAAATTTAAAAATTAGCCTGGCATGGTGGCACACACCTATAGTCCTAGCTACTCAGGAGGCCGAGGCAGGAGAATCACTTGAGCCCAGGACTTCGAGGCTACAGTGAGCTATGATGATGCCACTGCACTCTAGCCTGGGCAACAGAGGGAGACCCTGTCTCAAAAAAAAAAAAAAAAAAAAAA